AAAAACACAGAGATCAGAGAAGGGGAGGAGATGTAGACAGAGATTAGTGAAGTTTCAGAAACTCAGAAGGACATTTCTACATTAAGCCTCTCTCTCTGCCTCGACACATCCACCCCTCTCCTCTCTCCACTATGCCTGGCTATTTATGGTATAAGTTCTCAAGAGCCTACGCAACTCACAGAGGAGTTCTGAAGGCTGAGTTCATGGCATCATAATTTCAACCTGTAGCTACAGTAGGACAGGAAGCTTCAAACAAACCAGGATTTATTAACAAAACACAAGCTTCAACTCAGACCTGTTCAATCAAAACTTTGTGTGTGCGCTCGCCTTCAGTGATACAAGCTCATATTTGTCACCTTTTTGTCCTGTAACTGATGTACTTCTGTATTTTTTCAAACTGTATTGTCTTTTCAAACTTCTAATTCTGACAGTTCAAATTTAAGGAAAATAATATATGTTTTCAATGAGATCAACCCTTTAACATTTCAGTGTGGCACTTGAACTTGTTTTCAATTATTAAACAGTTCACCTACTTTTATATCACACACTTTAACGACAATTATATGCAAAAACTGTCTTCGGCACTTTCGTGTCAAATGTCCTGACAACTTAGAACCTTACTTTTTAAAGTTGGCAGCTGATTTTATCGCACCACCTTTGACACATCTTTTTAATCTCTCCCTGGACACAAACGAAATTCCTCTTATATGGAAATCTGCATTTGTTCTTCCCTTGTTGAACGGGGGGGGACCCTACAGTCTTAAATAATTATAGACCCATCTCCAAATTGTCGGTCCTGGTTAAGGTTCTGGAGTCCATTGTGAGTGAACAACTGAAATATTTCCTACTATCAAATAATATCTTATCTGACTTTCAGAAAAAACACAGCACAACTACAACGGCCTTAAAAGTGGTCAATGATTTTATAGAATGTTTAGACAACAAACACCACTGTGCAGCGCTTTTTATTGATTTATGACATTTAAATCTTAAGGCTTTTGATACTGTGGATCATGCAATACTAAAGCAAAGACTTAGTAGCATAAGACTATCAGACAAAGCGGTCTTCTGGTTTGAAAGCTACCTTTCTGGAAGATCTCAGTGCGTCCAGGCAGAAGGCATCACTTCTAGCTCCCTTGTAGTATCCAAAGGCGTGCCCCAGGGATCAGTCCTGGGACCACTACTCTTCATTTTATATATCAATAGTCTTGATCAAAATGTTTTAATGCAAATTTCCACTTTTATGCTGATGACACTGTGATATATTGCTCCGCACCTACACCAAACCAGGCCCTTTGTCAGCTACAACTTGCTTTTAATACTGTACAACGTACCTTGTGTGACTTAAAACTTGTGCTGAATGCTGATAAAACGAAACTCATGATGTTCTCGAACTCCAAATCAAAGCCACTGAACCTTCCTGCTATCACCACCTTTCAGGGCTTTGAAATTGAGTCTGTATCTCAATACAGATATCTGGGATTTGTGATTGATGATTCTCTCTCTTTTAAGCCTCACATTCAACAATTGGTAAAAAAAACTGAAGTTAAAATTAGGATTTTATTTTAGAAATAAGTCCTGCTTTTCATTTAAGGCCAAAAAAACACTTTTATGTGATAGACTATGGCTATGCTATTTACATGCACGCATCCTCGCAAGGCCTACATGCGCTGGATACTGTCTACCATGGGGCACTGAGGTTTATCACTAATATAAAAGCCCTTACTCCCCACTGCCTTGTATACTCGGGTTGCTTGGACTGCCTTGTCTACATGTAGACTAAATCACTGGCATATTCTTATTTATAAGGGTATTCTCGGTCTGCTTCCATCCTACCTACAGGGCTACATACTTAAGTTAACATCTTCGCTCGCAGGATTTACACCTTCTAACCATCCCTAAAGCCCGTACTGAATTAGGAAAAAGGGTGTTCAAGTATGCTGCTCCCTCTTCTTGGAATCGGTTGCAAAATACTTTAAATCTTCGGGAGCTGGTTTCCTTGAATGTTTTTAAAGGTTGTCTTAATGATCTGGAGGCAGAAATATCTGACTGTAGATGTTTTAGCTAACTCGCATTGCCCTTTTTGATCGCTTTGTTGCTGATGACTTATGACAGATTCTGATGAAAAATCATTCTTTTTGTGATTCCTGTATTTATATTCGTTGTTGTTAAGTGTTTTATGTCTGAAACCCTGTAATTGTGCTGCTGCCTGTCTTGGCCAGGATGCTCTTGTAAAAGAGATTTTTAATCTCAATGAGACTTTTTCCTGGTTAAATAAAGGTTAAATATAAAAATAAAAAAAGTACAATAAAAGACTAGAAATTAAATGTTAAAGAAACAGCTGTGCAGGATTACATTATTACATAAACTTACATACATACAAACAGTTGGTGTTTACCTTAAAAATACATATTGAAAATATAACTTATAACTGCTCTAGAAATATGAGTACAGTTAACTTAGTCAAATATAAAAAAAAGTAAAAAGAATGTAAACATGTTTTTGTGTGAATTTCTATTTGTCCATGAACAGTCATATTAAGAGACAGGACTGCAGATCATGGTGCAGTGATACACAGATGTGTCAACATGCTGTGCTGTTCACGGAGGTTTTAAGATGCTGGACGCTCTGTTTTCGGTCACAGCAGCTCACATAAAATGCTGCCGTGTTGATGTTCATCGTTGCTGTGGTCATTTTTGTGTGTTTGTGATGAGTGTGAAGTTGGTCTCTGAGATGTCCTGGTACACTGGACGTCTGTGTCTGCCTTTGTGTCCGTCTGTCTGTCTATAGGGAGAGGAAACCAGCACTATATTGTAATTGTGAATACCTACAGTCTTTTCCCATCTTGGCCTCTTATTCCCAGGCAGGGACAGGTCCATGACCACTCTGGATGAGGTAGGTGTTGAGAGATAGCCAACACTTGTTAACAAGCTGCTTAGAAGTCATTATCAACTTTCGCCAACTTAAGTCGTCTGCGTATTAAAATTGGCCTCTTCAAAGTCTGGAATGAATATCTTTTATTGTGTTTTTGTTTCCCCAAGGCTGGGAAAGGTCTCCAGAATAAATTCCTCCAGAAATATGTCTATATCTCAGTATAGTGACATGCTTGAGCTTACAAGGAATAAACTCACAAAAAAGATATTGGATATAAACAAATGAATAAGAGGACTTGACACATACAGACATGAATTCATTTAGTTAAAAGGTCTCGCAAACACGGCTGGCTGAAGGTAAACATTCACAAGAAGCTGTCTCTCTTTCAGAATATGCAGCACAATGAAAACAACAGAAACACTGAAGTCTCCCGCGTGATTCTTTTATAATCATTCTGTTGAATCGAGTGAAGACAGACTTGGTGTTTTTATGACACACAGGTGTGTTTCTGTGTGTGTTCACAACATGCAGGTGATGATATTCATCCTGTGACTGAGGGAAGTTGGAACAATGAGTCCACACTGTGAATGTGTGCTGCAGTAGCATAGAGGAGATTTTCATTGAGTCTCTGTAATGTGACCATGTTTGGTAAAGCTCTTCAGGCACAGACTCTGACCAAGCCCCTTGACCGACTGGTGCACACACTCACAGAAGTTTTCAAACAGACCTTCTCTGATTGTAACCACCCTTTCAGTCTTTACTATTCACATTCATATCTGTCTTTCATCTAAATTTCTGTCAAAAGACAATTTAAAAATGTTAAGAAACAACAGCTGGTCTTATCCTGCCTTTGAAACTGGCAGCTGAGGAATGACACAATCAGTTCAGTATGCTTCTGTTCTGCTGCATGACACACATAATGTATGCAGGTCATTACTATGCCGACACGTACCTGACTGACAAATATGAAATGGAATGAGATTAAGCTAAACATAAAACGTTGGATAATTATCCTTTTTTACTTCAGCATCACAACAACCTTCATGTTAGCCAGATGTCTAACATTCATTATGAAATTTAAAGCCAGAAAGAATCAAACAGAGAACAGTTTTTAGATTCAAAACTGCTACACTGGGAGATTATTTCTAAATGCCCGCCCCCCCCTTCATGTATCGACTTTAAAACATTTTATTAACAATTGAACGGTGTCTTTCAGTCATGATTTGCATATGAAGTTTAGAAAAAAGTGAACACTACTCCTTCACATAGGTTGTAAATAGTAATAATGACACTAATATTTGAATAAGAAACAACTTTTAAATGATAATAAACCAAATCTCTTCCTGTTTTATATTACCATCCATGTGGTGCCCCTATATTAACATTTCACAAACATTTTGACCAGCGATGATGCAAAGCCTCACTTTGCATTTGTGAAAAATGATGGGGGCCGTCCATCAACCATGTACACACTGGTTTAATCAATCCATTTTTTTTAACAAGAACTTTAAAAATGTTCCTCAAAAAACATTTCCAAAAACAAAATCCCACCAAACCCTAATTAACATGAAAAACTAACAACACTACTACTTTGTAACAACCATTTCCTATTTTTATACGATGGATTTGTATCTATTTGAGTTTTGGCATGAAGTCACATGACCTGAGTACTTGACTCAACCCTCCCTTCTGTGTTTCTAATGATGTCACATGTCCATATCCCCCAGGATACAGAAACCATTTAAGTGTTAACTGGCAAATTTTCAGCAGACTGGAGTCCATTTACCTTTTACATATGAACATGGTAGTAGCAACTGCTCAGCATCGAACAGTCTTGATTTTTGTATCATCCAATATTTCAAAGAAATGCTGATTTTTTTTAAAATGAAATTGCTTTATTTGATGTTTTTTTTTACAGGATATAACAACAGGCCAATGTGTTTTAGAGATGTAGAGACCCACAGGAATAATTGGCTCAATGATTGGATTATTTAAATACACTTTGAGACAGCCCCACTGACATAATTGTTCAAAAACAGATTCACCTGGTGAAAAGTGCAAACGCATACATACAAATAAGAATAAATATTTGCTGTTGAGTCAAAATAAACGAGTCAACAAATCAGTGTCTCTCGTCTTCAATTTTTATTGAAGAGAAACACTTTCAAGTAAGTCTCAGCTTCCTGCACTACAGTTACATGATCATTAGTAGTGGTCATTGTTGACAACAACATCCAAGTCACAAGGTAATGCTCAGACAAGGACCCTAAAGCCTGTAGGCTGTTCACATTTAAAATCTCCAGGAAACAAAGAATGATCAGAACAAGAATTGCATTGAATTAAAAAGTAGACAAAGGAGGGATGGACTGTCACCAACTGGCAAATCATTCACAGAGAAAAAAAAAACTTGCAAGGTATTTGATTATTAGCTTGTATGCAATTATTCCAGTCATTCTTTAACAAAATACCAATGTTCAATCCATTTTGTTCATTGTACAACTAGGGTTACACTTGAAATCAAAAGAAGACAAATGGGGTGGAAATAATAGTTGACTAAGAACCCCAAGTAACCTCAAGAAACCCGGCAGAATATACAGTTGGAGTACCAGATTGTGGTGCAGCTTTGTTATAATGTACCAAAGAAAGACAACATATCCTGCAATCCTAATCAAACATGAGCAAATCAGAGGTCTAGTTAGTCCAGTGCATATCTGGTCTTAACACTTGATTACAGATATATACACACCTGTAAATACCTTTGTGATACATATATTAAAATATATTCATTATTTATTATAATGAACATTGGCCTCCCCAAAGACAAAGGCAATGTGGTTTCTAACCTGATACAATACAGGTCATGACCTAACAATAGCAGCCTTATCAAGTTCCTTAATTTTAAATTCATTCTGTCGATTTTCAGCTGCAGTGTGCAACATACTGCACAAATGTCGGGTCTCCAGTCCATTGACAACCAGTCAACACACTGTTAGGTATCAAACTGTGTGCACTTGCACCCCAAAGTAGTGTTGGTCTAAACTCTACTAAAAGTATAGGACGCTCTCACAACCTGTGTATGAGCATCAGTGTTCAGCCAGTTCAAAAAATAAATCCAACACAGTTCATTCTAGGTATTATCATTATAGAGTTATGACCGAACAGTACGTCAGTTTTTACGACAACTTTTCACAGCTTTGTGTTTGGGAGGGCAGAGAAATGAAATGCTAGCTTCATATCAGCTACCTGTAAATCTTCAAAGAGTTTATGCCAAAAGCTGGTTTCCATTATATTCTGATCACATTTGAAACTGTCAGCTCATTTTAATGCCACTAAATATTCTGTCACAACATTCATAGAGACATGCCCCTGTATTCATTCAGGAGAGAAAACAATTCAACACAAAACAGGCTCCCCATGAGGGATCAGCTTTGGATTATAATACTTGGCCGGATTAATCATTGTGCAGGCAAATTACAAAAATATATACAGGGTATACATGTGGAATACAGAGACTATAAACGCTGGATATTACATTATAAAGATCATGCTAATCCAAAATCTGGCTGCATCACATCCACTATTTGTGTAAAGGCACAAGATATGTAGCCCCTCCTCTGTGGTGACAGACAGAAATACAGGAGATGGCTGAGTTATTGCTCCACGGGGAGTGTGCTTTAGAGTTCCACAGTGAAAACACCACTAGACATTCTCAGACTATTATATCCAGCTAGCCAGCTAAAGATACAGACAATAGAAGGAGACCTCCACCAATATTTGCATGTCCAAATAAACATCCCGGGGAGTTCTAACTGCAAACAGGAGGAAAAAAAAAAGTTGAATTAATCTCTGGAAAAATGTGGGTTTGAGGAGTTAGAAAGGCTCCATTAGCTGCTAGTAGTGTAAAACAATCTTAACCTCAACAGAACTGTCAGGGGATGAGTTGCATTATGGGTGATGTAGGCATTACATTTTGTCTAAAAAGAATGTATGGCATTAAAAAGGCAAAAAGTTTTTCAATACAAAGAAAAGAGAAAAAAAAAAACATGGTCATCTATTGCAAAATGGTGTTCCAGCTTTGCTTCAAGATACTGCAGACAATTTCTTTTGAAATTATTTTTGATTATTGTTGTTACATTTGATTAAACTATTTTAATTCTGGCAGAAATCAATAAATGAAATACTTCGACAATAAAGAACAGAATCTGGTATCTGTATCGTTTCAAGGCCTGAAACTAACCTGCTTAACTTCCTGCCTGTTTACCTACCTGCCTGCCTATGTGTGGACACTTTGCCCATGCTTTCTAGCGCAGGATCACAGCCTATTCTACCTCGTTCTGAAGTTGAATGAATTAGCAGTTCCACTGTATAATGTGGATGTTCTTACTCTTTATATTTTCACAACAGTTGTGGACGACATGGATGACAACCCGACCTACAAATCTCTGGTTCTGCTACATTGCTATTGCAGGTCTGACAATGTCTTAGGCTTTTAATGCTAAATTGGTGGAGTAATCTTTGAAGCTAAAAAGAAACAGACGTAAATGTGCGAGCTTCTTCTCTGTACATATCTTAGTTGTTTGACCAAAGCCAAGTCTAAAACAGCTCTTGTATCTCTGTCTGTCAGGATATCAGCTATGCATGTAGTCATTAGTGTCTACTGACAGTAGACTGAACCATAAGAAGTATTCATGAATTTGTGAAAACGTGTTATGCCAACTGGCACAGGGACGATGTGGTTATGTAAAGCGAGTTATTCATACAGTATGCAGAGGGATGTGTAGCTACTGTTTGTGTGTCGACTGTACAGACATGCAGGGAGAGAAACAAAGGAATAAAAAAGACATGCACTTAAGAGGAAAACACATTAACTGCTTTGGAAGACAAACCCCTGTTCTGCATTGGATTAATGCAATAAATATTTAGATGCAATACATCTACCTTGACTATTCACAGAAGTATGCCATGCACTATGTAATAATATAGTTCACAGTAAACTTAAAAAAAAAACATGCAGATTGCCACACATTGCTTTTGACAGTGACATCCTATTGTTGTCGCACATTGGTACATCCAAATTCTCTTCTGATTTAAAGTGTCATATTACATCATATTGCACTCCTATTGCTGTCATTCTGCCAAAGGAAGAGCACCATGTGGGTGTTTTAGAAGGGCACCAAATAAAGTGTATAGTTTGCACACTATGCTTTGCAAGAAAGGTAGCAGAGACCGATCATGCAGATGTGTTTGTATTTACTTTATAATGCCCACTTCCTCAATGAGTTTGTCAGAGTCGGTGAGGAAAGAGGAGCTCAATATAGAGTTCAAAAAGCCTGTGGGTTGTACACTAACTGGACAAAGTTTCTGGAGAAAAATGATGCTGCTCGGTTTTTCTGCCTTTACTGGGACATGCTCTGAACGTGGGAAAAGGAAGAGGGAGGAAGAAGTTCCTCCAAATAAGTGATGTCACAAATGATAAGGTTTTGAAACCTGAAGAAAATCTTTACAGTAAAAAAAAAAAAAAAAAACATGAACGTTTCCTTTTGATGAATTGATTGAAGAAGTCTGTATGAGACAGGAGAAGAGGTAGAACAAAATGAAAAGTTCACGATTGATATTAAAGCCCTACTCAGTGAGGAAGAGCATTACAAAGACTGTAATGTGAATACGAAATGTTTCCGCAGATGCGTAGAACTTCAAGTTGTGTAAAAAACAGAAAAGAAAATAAAGAGTGCAAAGTACAGCACAGTGATGCAAACACAATGAATACTGAAAGGCAAAACTGTCTTGTGAGATGCTTAGGATGTTGGAGAGTGTCTCTCTTCCCCCTGCATGCATTCTCTTTTTTTGATATAAAATCATGATTGTAAGGAGGTTGTAGGGGCATGGCTGGTGATCTAGGCAGGCGTCACTTGTTTCAAGGAGGCCACAGCAGGTGATACTGTAGAAGAGGCATTAAGGTGTTTTATTTGTCTCTTTTAGTGAGGTCTGATGAGTTTAAGACAAGAGCCCTATAGATTCTCAAACACTGTCTGGATCCGATGAAAGAACATTTCACTCTGTAGGCCACGTCTCCTCAAGTGTGGACGGAGAATTAACAAGAGAATAAGAAGCCTCCAGTTGTTCAGAAGATAATAGTGAGCAGGAGATGGTTGTCTTCTGAAGGGGTGAGCTCTGATAGAACTGTGATCCTGCTCCTCCACAACTATTACCTCCCCGTCTCTCATAGGCACTTCAGAGGGTTGGGCTTTGGCTGAAGTTGAGCATGAGAGGGCATGAGCGATGGTGGGAGGAGAGGCGGGTGACAGACAGGGTAAAAGTGTGCTTGGGAGCTTTACCTTGTCGTCCACAACCGAAAGCTATCACCCGCCAGGATACTTCATCCGTCAGTGAAAACACTGAGGCTGCAAAGGCTGATGCTTTACTGAGTCAAAAAGCAGAGTCCTTGTCCTATTTTGGGCTCAGAGGCCAGGGAATCTTAGCCTGGTGCACTGGTCGACACAGCAATCAAGGAGGATTGGATTGGTGATTTGAGGGTGGAGATTGGAGGGACACTGAGGCTACAGCAAAAGAAAGAAGGCTGTTCGGTTCCTGGATGTCCAGCCTCCCGTCCTGCTTTCGTCTGTGTCTACATGTCCTCTGCTCGGCATCTTTAGTCTGTGTGGTTGTTGAAGTGCTTCTTATCAGAGATAGATTCTGCCTCTGTTCCTTCTTTGCTCTTTCTTCCTCCTCTTCCAGTCATAACCTTGTAGCACCCACGGGCGATCTTATACATCCAGACAGTGTTTAAAATATCCAGGGCGATGCAGGAGGTAATCCATGCCACCTGGGCGCCCAAGCCCAGCCGCTCAAAGTCTTGGGTGCCAAAGGTGGCGAATACACTGGCCCAGTAAGACGGCATGACAGCAATACGAACCAGGAAGAACACCAGTGACATCAACATGCCGTTTAACACCACCAGCCGGTGTGAACGGGGATATTTTAATGCCTCAAAGAACCACCTGGAGAGAGAGGGAGATTAAGACAAGTCAGTGAAATGTTGTTTGAAATAAGAAATGCTATCTACCGACATAACAGGACATTTCCACTTTTTTAAATGTATTTTTAGAACTAGCTAAGTAACTTTAACTATCTGGTCTTAAAGAACTAAATCAACTCCTACAACAAGTGCCACCAAACAAGAATGTAGATTTCAGTGTAATCTAAAGGAAAGTTTAAAGATTGTTTTCTCAAAATGTCCCTTAATAGGCATCAAATCCTACTGCAATCATCTAAAAAAAAAAACACATACCCTCAGATTAACAGAGTACTCAAAAGAAGTATTCCTGAATAAAAGTTCTGAAAAGAGATTGGCTTGTAATTATTCTCAGACACATACACACACATTTCTATGCAAAACGTATGTAGAAGTCCATATTATCTTTGAGTCATTTCATTTAATGTGAATTTGTCATCAGTGTTCCCCTGATACAAAACTTGAATTGATTTTTTTCTGTACATCTATCAAAACACATGATTTCATTACACCGGTGTAAGATGGACAATAAACTGTGTCATTAGCATATACTGCATTGCTTTATGATCTTTTTGCAGTGTTATTTTTTTTAATCTATTTTTGGGCTTACGTATCTCCTGTATTTGGACAGGACAGTGCATAGAGTAAGAAATCAGGAGAGAGTGGGGAATGACATGCAGGAGAAGAGCTACAGGTGTAACTTGAACCCGGGCCATCAAGTCAGAGGATCGTCTCTGTACATGGGGTACGACCTAACCGCTGGGTCACCCTCCCCCTTCTTTTGTGTGCATTGGCATGAAGGCTGACTCACCTTTGGTTCACAAACGGTGTGGACAACTCTGAAATGAGACGGAAGTTGGCAAAGTAGGGAAGCACACCACGTGTCTGCAAAGACCAAAGACATAAACACATTAACCAAGGACATGATATATGAATAATGTATTGATATTTGACTTTAGGTATATAAAGAAGAATGAATTCAACTAAAACTTTTTCATTATTTGATCTGCAGAACTAGTCCATGTAAGGTTTAAAGCTCTGGTTCTTGAGTGATAGACTCACCAGCACATATCCGTATGCATAGAGCGCCGCCAAGTGGTGACACACAAAAAAGCTGTCCCCCATGGTGCTCCAGTTACATGCAAGCAGCACAAGGTCTAAAGGACAAGGGGAAAAGGTTGGTCAGTGAGGTCTGGCAAACTGATACATCTGTTTGATGACGAGGACAATTATGTACACAAGAGCCTTTGAAAGCAAATAGCAGAGAATGCACCACTGGTGAAAAATATAGACAACATTAATAGAAGACAATGTGGAAGACATTTAAAGGCAGACTGACTTGTGACAAAGTCAATCGTGCTGATAAGCTTTTATGTTTTTATATTTGTCTTTGACAGCATTGAATGAATATGTACCAAAGTGCAGACCTCTTTTAGCTGACGATGCACTACAGTACTGTTTATCACTATAATTCACTTGCTTTGGCTGCTGCTGAGAGATTACAAACCTAAAAGAGAAAAATACATTTAACTGTAGATATAACCTTTAATTACTTAATCAGTCTGAGGTACATTTACACAATGTTTCTACATTACTGGTATAATATATATTTATATGTAGTGTATACATTTTTCTTGTTTTTATTTTACCAGGAGAACCTCATCTCTCATTAACAAGAGTGTCCTATTACTCGCATGTAAAGTTCAGAATTCCACATGTTACTCTTAGCTTACCAAATGCTAATGATTAGCCTGGCAATGGTGTTTCACCTCAGATTCAGATAGAAGGCTTTGTGTGCAATGAATACATTGACTGACATGCCTCATGGACAATGTTGAACTAGACAAAATGATCAACAGGACTAAAAACATACAGAGCTTACCATAAATCAGGTAACCACAGGTTATGGCTACATTTAGTTTGACAAGATTGGGGTCGCCCCTGTGGAAGAACAAAGAACACAAAATGTCAACATCATAACAAATTGTATTTCAATACATAACTGTAACAGTATGATCCACATATAGACTGGAGGAGAAGCTACAGACTATTCCAGATCCTTAAAAGGCCCCACAATGAATGAGTGCTTGTGAAACAATTCATTAATTCTAAAGAAAAAAAATACAATTTGCTACAAATTAAAGTCACTTGACTCTCCCATAAGGCAAGATTATTTATATAGCACATTTCAACAACATGGCAATTCAAAGTGCTTCATAAACAACGGAGTGGTCATTCAAGCATAAATTTCAAATGTTGATGACTTTTTACATGGCTGGTTCTTTATTAAAAAGGACACGTTTGATCAGCAGCTTGTTTTTCTGAACATGACTAACAGCTCTTAAAGCAACATGTAACAGGTAACCGTTCGTTGTCCTTGCAAATAACATCTGTTCAAAATGACAAAGAAGATGTCTCTGCTTCAGTACACATCCAACCCAGGTTTCAGTTACTAGTATCGTATAGCCAATGACTCACTGACTACTTGTGTAACAGAACCCCACCACACAAACACTGTACACACATACACACACATCTACTGAATAATGGCTCACCTTACTGAGCAGGTGATGAATTTTGGTAAACCACTTTGAAATGTGTCTATCTACCTATGCCAGAATGGCTTTGAGTGAATTGAGTTCTATGAAAATATACTTAAATATGCAAGAGATATTTGGATACAGATCCCTGTAATAGACATGTCTAAGACACAACTCAAAATGTATTATCAGTTATCAGTGAGTATGCAACTCCATGAACCAATCCGGTACCACACTAAACACCCCCAAAAAATTTGAGGTAACCAGCGACGTTTGGTTAAAACTTCAATGCACTCTTTAACAATTGCTCACCAGGCCTCTGTTAAAAGCCTCTAGTCAAAGGGCAAACAACATTTCTGAGGAAAACCGTTCTAACCTAAAAATAAGCCAAAACAGTAATAATAAACTCAAGACTGCAACTGGCAACTAGTTTTAAAATGGATTCAACTGATGTGGAAAAATTGATAACAGTGATACTGTAGTTTATAAATCTGAATGGTTATCAGGAGATTTTTATTTAATGAAGGTACCTTATGCTAACTTCTGCATATGCACGTGTGAGATAATGATTCTTCTCTTACATCACCAGTGGTCAGGCATCTTGAACAATCAACCTTGTACTTTCTCTCTGATAATATATCTAATCTATTGCCTGTATCACAAAACAGCCCTCCTCCTGTTAACTGATCAGTGGGATCACTTTACGACTGCAGAGACAGAAATGCAGCAAGCAAATATGAGCCTGAGGAAAACATCCAACCTGACTGATAGTGTGGGCCAGAGAGTATGAGTCCAAAGGCTCCTTGATAATCACATCAGTGTGACCCAGCTTCAAGTTTATCAACCTACAGTGAACCCTGGCTAATAACTCAATGTATTGTTAACTGTCTGGATTCTGGCCTAGAAAGACAAAAGGGAGCTTTTTACTCTGTAAGTAATGATAGCCTTGTCTTAACAGCCTCAAAACAACATCCAGTAGTGGAACATTTGTTACATTCACTCGATTATAGACGTTTAATTTTCTTTATTGTAGTCAAACATTCTTAAGGGGTCTGGCATAAAATGTGTGTGCAGACTCAAGAGTGTCTGCTTTTGTCTACATGGAGACATTTTTAATAGATAGCCTCTAACAATTGTAATACATTAGTTTAAATAGTTTCTATATTTGCAAATTGCGATTCTAGAAAATAAAGCAGCAACATGCGTGAGTATTCAATTCGTCATTTCAGTCATATTTTACAAAAATGTGCTACATAATAAAGATACTGCTGTTGTTTATTGTTTTCTATTACTAATGAAAAATGAACAAAGTGAGGCCAAAGCTAAATGAATTCAGCATTCCAGTGCACACATTTTCTCCACAAGTACAACAACGCAGAATTCATTGGCTTGAACTCAGATTTCCATCCACTACCCCTGCCATGCGTTTCTGAGCATGTAAGACATGTTGTTTATGTTTATTTATCTGATGTTTCTTGAATCTGTTGGAGTTAACTATGAATTTAATCATGATAGTAATTGTATGTTCTTAGTTTGGTTATGTGTTTATAATATTAATTTGGAATATGTGCCGTTGATACCACAAAAACCATGGCTCTGGATTGGAAATAGATCCTTTTAAGTTTAAACTGCAACCCTGTCGTCGCTTCAATTTGGGAGTCTTAAGCGGTCAGCCCATTCTTAATAACATGAGAAGTTTTAATATATTTTTTAAATGAAGCTTGGATAAAACCACAATCCAAAATACTGTGGAAAAGAAATTTGTTTGAAAACCTTGCCGAGCTTGATTGGGCACACAATGATAATTTGCCTCTGTACTGTCCAGGTACGATTCATTCATCCATAGAAGCGAACACTTCATTGATAGTGCAAAGTCATAGCTTTGGAACACGATTATTTTAGGCCCATTTTGTACAATGTACTGTAAATAACATCAAACTTACCTAAAGGTGCACTATGGAGTTTTTGTAGAGAAATGTGAAAGTTGGAGAAGTGTACAAATTCTGTGGTATATGTCCATTACTCTATACACAAACTGTCCTCAGAGGAAAATTTTGTCGCTGTAAGACTGTTTAAAGATAAAATGATGGGTGAGAAGTTATGGGGGTGGGCCCGCAACAGTCAAACTGTGACTCTCCTGGTAGCTTTTTAACTCCAAACAGTGTTCCAGGGAAACATTTTTCCTTTGAATGAAGTTTGTGTATTTAGTTCAGAAAACATAGCATAGAAACATTGTTTCACTTCTCCAACTTTAAAAGTTCACCACCAAATCTACATAGTGCACCTTTAAAAGATAGTCAGTAGCTTAACCCTAAAACAAATAAAAAGAAATGTCTTACAGAAAGTATTGCTGCTCAATCATCCCTTAAGGGCTTCCATACATGTGCGGTGGTGACTGTCTGCAGAAACACTGTCCTAGTCTGCCTGTATTTTGATGTTTTATTTCGGTTGATAGAGGGCGTTTATGGTCAGGGAGCTGATGTGTTTCCCCCAGCCAATGACAGAGCGCAGGTGGCTTTAGGAGTGGATAAAATTCAGTGACTGGACGTAATACAATCAGGCACATATGACAGATGTGGACACTGTGCAAAAGAAGAGAAAATGTATCATAGTGAGTTGAAACGCCAAGAAAATAAAGCTTATTCCACAAGAAGAGTGAACCTTGTGTTGGCTTTTACCCAGTGACGCAGAGTTTGTTTGCTTTCTGTTGGACAGGATGGTGCCTGTCCACCGGCGGTTTGCTTGAGCTAGTGTGCTGTAGCTTGCAGTGTGGGTACAAGCAATAACGTTCACACTACGTCCTGCAGTGAGTGTGGTGATGAGCCCAGGAGGAGGTTCCCAGTTTGAATGTTGTGTTTACAAGCTGCAACGAACAATGATACTGACGCCACCTTTAATTGATGATGTTTTGAAGAGACACATTTTAAAAAAGGGATACTTCACCCATGTGCATTAAGCTTTGTATCATTAGAAACCTGATAGTATTTCTGAATGGTCGTGTATCCCGCCCTCATTTTCCCCTGAGATGGGAAATCTTTGTATTTTTAAGTCTGAAAAGCAGCTTCCAGTGACGCAAAAATTACGATTTTTGTTTTTTAGTCACTGGAAGCTGTTGTGGTTAGCAGGGTGAAACTACAGCGCTAGTTCCTCATATTTCGACCACTGAAGCTACAGACCAATCACAGATCAGTGGGTGGGAACTCACTCCCAGAATCTAAACTTAACGTCCGCCATATTGCTTGGAAGCTATGCTAACAGGCTCTTTGGAGAAAGCTGATAATGGCGAAAAAATATAAATATAGCGGCGAGACGGCTGCTGCCGAGAGGCCAGTCTTGTGTTTTGGCGTGAAGTATCCCTTTAAGAGATGCTTAAAGCCTTCAAACTTCATGTCAAAGCCGTTTTACTTCATTTCTGTCCTTCTACAGCTCTGTGTTAAAATGTTGTTGACAGGTCTGTGATGAAATGATCTTGACAGCTGTTGTACTGTTTTCTCATTTTTAAAGTCCTTTCATATGACTTGTGACACGGCAAAATCTGTTAATGCCAGATTTTGACAAGAGGACTTTGTGTGGTGGATTTTTTTTTTCCTAGTTCTGTGGTAACATGCACAGCATGCATAACAATGAAACAGAACATATCAATTTGCAATCGCCTCATGTGCTTTGGATCATTGAATAACATACATTTATGATTTACGTTAGAGTTTTTTAAAATCCTACTTGGAATGCACATGCAGAAAGGCTTTACATTAAGAAAGTGTTTAGGATACATATACAAGAGTGTTTTGTTTTTGGCCTTGTATCAAAGATTTTGACTTAAAAGGTAATACAAACATTCAAATGTTTAATAGAAACCAGTTTGACCTAAACTCAACAGGACCCTGAAATTTGGCCCCTCTCTGTCCTCCAGTGGCCCTGCTCATGTTCATGTTCAGATAAGCCAATCAAGACATGCAGCAGCAGAGGGCGGGACGGTTGGTCACGGTGCTTGTTAACTGAATGGATTATGATAACGGCCTGGGTCGCGCTGCCTGCCAGAGTGAAATGTTGAAATAGCCCAAGCAGCAGCTGAAAACAATGCTGGCTTCTCACAGTGCGGCCTTGGCCACTCAATCACTGTATTGAGAGCATCAGAGGGAACAATGCTGCTATGTGACAGCTCTTAATCATACTGTAATACAATTAGATTGCCTGGAGAATTTATGCTTACACCAGTCTGGTGTTGCAATGGGGTGGGCCTCAAGGCATTAGGAGACTGTTGTGGACTGCTTGTTGGCTAGTTTCCTAACCAGGGGTATAACGATTTGGTTTCCATATTGAAAATAGATTAAAAAAAATTACCTCCTTTATCAATTTCATAACAAAACAAAAAACATGACAGACATTTCTCTCAGTATTTCTTTCACTGATCACAGCATATCTTTTGGACACAGCACTTTCACTACCAAGTCCACAAACAACAGAAACAGGAAACTAATAACTGTACTATCTTATACCCATCCTCAGAAGTCCAACAATAACATCATAATTACCACATTAAAATGCACAAAATAGGGGTAAGGGTATCCATCTGAATCGTTCAAATGATTATGAAAAATAAAATCGCTTGCAATATTCCTGATAACTTCAACTGTACAATCCAAGATAAAAAAAAGCTGCTTTTCAAACTGTTTGCTTGTTGGTTTGTTTGCTAAAATAGAAATGACTGTTGAAAGGCAAGAGGTCAAGTGTCCATCTGAGAGGCATATTTTGAATACTCTAAACTTGCCAAATGAAAGCCCACCAAACCTGAATCACATCAGCAAATCACACATCTTTATCTGTAAATGCCACATTTCACAACGGCTTTATTTAGGATATCCAACCCAAACACGCTGTTTTCATGCTTGGCTTTATTGCTTCCCTTTTCTTTTCTGCTGAAGTCACATGCTTTACTAAATGATCATCATTTCAAACGTGTGTATATATTCTATAAATGTAACTTATTTTTAAAAATGTACTTAAACTTTCCTTCTGCCTAATTTGTGAAAATTAACAGTGGTAATATGCACCATACTTGAGAAATGTGTTGTATTTGTGTCATTTTGGGAGTATTGTCAAATCCAAAATGAACACTAGTGTTTAAATAAGTTCATACACTCACTGACAAAACCGTGCTTAAATGTTTAAATTAGAAGACTGATTGTGGACATTTGTGTGCATGTGAACAACAGATGTAAAATACATGTATACACAAAAAGAGGCTTTGGTAGTGGGGCTTAGTATTTGCAGCCTGAGAATGGCTGTTGATAGGGGGAGGAGGGAGGGAGCCCCATCTTTTGTCCCGCCTCTCTTCTCCCTCTTGACCTCCCCCCACCAACCCTTGCTTTCTCTTTTCTCGCCTTTTTTTTGCTACATCAGCGCTGCTTGCCAGGGCCGACAGACAGACAATAAGGGCGAGGGAGGTGTGCTGCATTGATTCGACAGCCTGGGATGTGGGGTACAACACACTAGAGGCTCATGGAGGGCTGGAGGTGGGGGGGCACAAGAAGAGAGGAGGCAGAGGACTAGGCTACTGTTGTTTATTATAAAAAGGAGCCTTGTTTGTGGGTTTCTGTTTGTAAGAGAGACAGAGAGGAAGTGTATTGTAGTGAAAAGGAAGAGAGAAAAAAGGAGACAGAAGGGCGGTGAAGAAAAAGGAGAAGTGAGAGACAGAAAAGCTGAAGAAAAATATTTTTAAAAGACTGACTGAGAAGTTAGAAAAGAGAGATAAATGGGGAGTGAAATTACCATTTCTCTTACTCAAGATTCATTGATGCAAAAAACATAGCAGAGAGAGAGAGAGAGAGAGAGAGAGAGAGAGAGAGAGAGAGAGAGAGAGAGAGAGAGAAAGAGTGAGAGAGAGAGAGAGAGAGAGAGAGAGAAGCTGAGAGAGAGAGAAGACAGTAAAGACAATAATCAAAGGCAAAATCCACTGGATCTACAACTCTCTGGAGGCTCTGCTGACACATTAGATCCATCCTCCCCCTCACATTCTTTCATTCTGATGAAGGGAGTGCCTTCGTCATCCCTCCAAAGGTATTAACTACCAACCCTGGAAATCCCTCACTGCCACCCACCTCTCATATTCAACCCTTCATCTGTTTCCTCTCTTACCCTTGTACCCTTGCAGATGTGACAAGACAGGTTTCTCCTAAAAGCGCCCCAAGCTTTCACACTTATGCCTGCCAAAATGATGAGGCATAATGTTCAATATTTTTTTTGCCTATTTGTAACAGCATTATTGCATTTGTGTTTATGGGCTTTAGTAGGAGGGGGAAAAAAGAGCAACAAAATGTTTCAACACTTTTTTTCTTGCATGTAAAGTATAATCTATAAGAGAGACCCACTTTGCAATGCAAAGCATCTATTTTAGATGCCCTTTTTTAATTTTGCATTTCTACTTATACATTGAATCCTCCAAGTATGATGTCAAAGGCACAAAGCAGGAACTTCACATACACACGCACATGGAAAATGCGCGCACACACAAAGCGCTATTCCGTCTTGCTTGCCAACATGATACATTGAGAGTCTCACCTCTGTTACACACTGCAGACGAAGCATTAATATCCTGTCTTGACTGACAATATACTGGTGAAGTTCATATAATAAGAAAATTGTGAAAATGTTCCGTTTTCTACAATTTAATTTAAAAGTGAAACTTTCATATAATTTAGATTCATTAGACATAAAGTGAAATATTTCAAGGCTTTTCTTGTTTTAATGTGGATGATTGGGGCTCACAGCTCATGAAAATCAAAAATTCTATATCTCTTCTATACGATAATTACAAGAGCAATTTAAAAAAAGATTTATAATACAGAAATGTCAACCCTCCTGAAAACGACGTTAATTTATGCACTCAATACCTGGTCAGGGATCATTTTGAATGAATTACTGAATCTATGCGGTGTGGCACAGAGGCAATTAGCCTGTGGCACTGCTGAGGTGTTATGGATGCACAGGTTGCTTTGATAGCGGCCTTCAGCTCAACTATATTGTTGAGTCTGGTGATTCTTTCTTTCCTTTTTACAAGGCCCTAAAGATTATCTACTGGGTTGTGTTTTTTATGTTTTTATGGACACATTTTTCCTTCTGTTCCTCTTACCAGACAGGGTCCGCGTTGACTGCATCATCAAACCGCAGGATGAACAGACAGAACAGCCCCACAATCAAGGCGTGCACAGTTGACACCAACCTAAAGTAAAGAATAAGACAAACAGACAGAAGTTAAAAATAACTAACATCAAGACAGATATACATGATTTTATTTACAGTCAGTAAATGTCTGCTCATGCCTCCATACTGTATGTTATTATCACTATGGATGTTATTAATTGGCACTATAAAAATAAAAATTGATTGATTAAAAGGTTGACGTATAGACATGCATATGCATCCATGTGCTGTTTTTTTCCTTTTGTTAATTAGGCCTGGTAAAGCAAACCCTTGACCTCTGGCCCCTGAATATGGACATATGAACTTTTTTTCCCCCCAGTTTTAGATGTCAGGGAGCCCATTTCTCACCAAAATGTATTGGTACAAAAACTGTAAACTAAGCCGAGATAGAAAGGAATTATGTAACTCAATATTAGGCCGGGGAGGCAGAAGCCCTGCAAAGCGCACAGGAGCGCGGCCTCTGTACAGTGCCCATGTTAACCATTTGGGCTGCAAAGACAGAGCGCAGCGATCGTTTCAGCAACTTTTATTTTCTCAATGTGCCCACGGGTGATTCTGGAAAGAAAACCCTGTCACTGCTTTGCACCCCCCCGCTCAAACTAATTGTATTACCTGCAGCAATCACACAGCAGCAGAAACCAGTGTGAGTCTCATTTGTGCAATTACACAAGAAGCACATGGAGTAGTCACCCTCCCAATGATTGCAGAGATCCATCGCAAAATTATTTCAGAGGCTAGTATTGAATTCTGTTTCCTGTGGAGAGTTTCCTCCGTACTGTCAAGTTTATATAAATGCAATTCTGCTGCTAAACTAAAACTGTTTGCAGCTGTGGCATAACTGGGCACATTGAAGTGTTTACAGTTTCTGAAAGAGCCTCTTAGATCATAAAAGTATATCATTAAAGAAAACACAGTATACAAGGGCTTCATTTGTTTCAGATCCACTTCCTGTTGAAGTTGAACTAATCAATAAAGTTATTTTTGAGAATAGTAGAAAAATGTTGACGCCTGAAGCAGTGAGTTTTGTTGACTTTAACATGAGCTATTGTGGCATGTGTCATATTACTGCATGTCACTATCTGTAAATCTTCATGTTCTATCTAAGTTACGAGCCACATATTGTCCTGGGAGCTTCTGAGCGCTCGTCTCGTAGGTTCCTCTGGATTGTGGTGGGTACGACCTGCTGCCATGATTTTCAGTGATTATTGTAAATTCTCCGGTTATTGTAAATAAATATCACTGTTTGGGATGACAGTTATACGTTTTGAACATAATGGAGGCCCAGAAGAAGAAAAATCAGAAGAGGAGGAGGTGAATGGGAAAGAGACAGATCTCAATGTGGACACCGGAGACACATAATAATACCAGGTGTAAATGTAAATGGTCAAGCGCTATCCGATAGCAATCTTATCACAGAAAACTTATTTTCTGTGATATTTTCTGCCAGGTATATGAAGGGGGTCTACTACTTCTTCAAGCTGGATGTCCCCCCACTTCAAAAATCATTCAGGCACCACTGCTCTCGAGTGGTTATCAGGGCCACTAAAGAGATACTCCAGAGGTTCAGTGGCACTCATTTCTCCTCAACCAGAATCACAGAACATTCACTGTTACCACACAGCCTCTTGGGTGCAGCACTCACAGTCCACAGGCTACAGCTGCTGACCTGAGTTCTGGCCATGTCTCGAAATATCAACTACTGTATGAGTAGATGTGTGCATCAATACTGCTGAATCAGAGTCTAATTACAGAGTCAAAAATGGACCAGACACATTTGGATGAACTGGGCTAAATGAAGTTGGGAAACAAGGTTTATAAATAGCTTTCTGTGTCATCGATCCCATAGCAACTATTTGGTTGTTGTTAACTTTAAATGTGGGTAAACAGGAACATACAGCTTAAAGGAAGACAACAGACAACAGAGACAACACTGTGAACAGGCAAAACAAATTTCAATACAACCAACAGGCAGTCCAATACTAGAAATGCAGTCCTACTCCTTCTTTGGAAATGCTTTCTCTCTCCTCTCCTAGCACTCAAGTCATAGTTACATAAACAACTCACTGACACACTGAGAGCTAGCTGTTATGTAACCCAAGTCCACTCTTGAGTGAACCATCAGTGTCTTGCTTGTGATGTCTTGGACTATTCCTTGGTCATTTAGTACAACCGGGCTTTCAAATGTGTACGGAAAAGAAATATGTAAACTAGTTGAAGTGAGGATAACCTGTAGGCAGAAAGAAACAAGGAGAGAGATACCATCTGCCAACTAAGTCAGTAAAGATATGCAACAACAAATTATTGCCCTGTGAACCCTCCCCCCCCCCCCCTCCCTGAAAGTTTTGCTTGAAATTCAAAACCATTCTGTGATTCACTAGCCATTAAAGTCACAGCTGTAGCTATGTGGGATGATGACAGGGTGCCGGAGACATCAAGATCCTCATGTCTCCTATATATAAGACACTGTAGCCTTCAAAGAGGTCACATGTTCAGGATGTCACAACTTTGTAATTATATACAACCTGTATGGAGGTATTTCTCTGTACGTAATGTTCAAGCCAAAGAAACAAGCAATACATAATACCTAAGTGACACGTCAAAATGTTGTGGTGTAAACAACCGCAAAAATGTCTATTCCATCCAATACCTCTGATTATGTCATAATTTCTGAGCTTTTTAAACACTGTTAAGAATTGTGTGATACAAACATCATAACTATATATATTACACATTAAAGTAAAATCAGAGATTTGCTTTCACACAGCAAATGTCACATTATGCATCATAGGCTAAAATGAATTTTAAGGCTGTAGGTCAGATTATGATTGGCTTACAGCCGCTGCCAAATATGAAATGAAGTTACATAAAACAAATGAAAATATATCCAAGGAAGGAAGTGGATTTTAACAGTTGCAACTAGATATCAATCTATTAGGCCTGTGTTTGTATTAATCCTGAACTATCACCGTTCGGACGACTACACAGAGGCTAATACATGTTAAGGCTATCTGCCCATTCGAAAATTTTGTTTTCTTTCCCCCTCTTGTTGTACAATGTTTACAATCAGCTTAAGCCCAGTAACGGGGCCACTTTGCCTAGTGTGAGTGTGCCCTAAAAAAAGCTATTCTGTTTTCATTTTTACTAAAAGGAGCAATATGCAAGTTATATTTACTTACTTAAATCATAAAATCACCTTACTATATGATCAGACATTAAGGAAACATGTTATGTTGAAGTGCTGGCTTCTCTGACAACAATGCAGCAATCAGTATGTCCTCAGCTAATTTTTAATTCTGGTCCGGAATGGTCTGTATACGTTCTGAGCAGAGAAGGGAGGTTTGACGGCACCCCCACAAAGCTGTTTTGGATGCCCCTTGGTTTGCCAGATATGAGACCAGTTATCACAGCGACAACTGGTTCAGATATACAGTAACTGACTCTACCCGAGCTTAAAAAGCCTCTGCATTTTTTCTAATAAGCACTGTGACCAGAAACGTAGTAAAACTACAATTATTTTTGGAGATGCTTTTAAATAATTAAAAGAGGTTAGAGAGCACAAAGGTTTCAAGACCAATATAGAGCTGGCTAAACACTAAAGCTTCCATGTCCATGACATGGCAACCCACATGAGCGCAAACTCTAGGGAGGAGGGGGCAGGGGGAGAGAGCTCTCTACAATGTTTTGAATTTCAACTGCAGTACCATTTTTAAGAGCTACGTGTCAGAGTTACATATTGCTCCTTTAAGCTATGTGCCTTCTGTATTGTATATGTGCATACGTAATATCACCATCATACATGTCGGTAACCTTAAGTTGCAAAGGAGAATATGAATCAGTGAGCACAAAAATAAAAACCTGCAACGACCAGTCGACTTTAGGCAAAATGTGAGTGATCAGATTCGACTATGTAAATCCTTAGTCTGGGACACCCCTCAAGGGTATTAATGCATTGTCCATGTATTAAGGGCTTATCTAAGAGGTCAGATATTGCCTGCTGATTGCAAATGCATGGTATAAGTACATACAACGACGTGTTTTTCATTACATTTCAGGCATTTTTTAGCAATTTTGTTTCTGCAAACATTTATACCGTAAAGACAATAAAAATGTGATTTATTGTGCAGCCCTCTTATTTTAATGCAACTGTAAGGAAATGGGATGGAAGCAATAGTCTGGAAATACAAATATATTTTAACACCTTTTCTTTCATACTTATCCAGACCTTAAAACTACTTAAATCAAAATCAACTGTTAGAATAAAATACTGGTATTTCCCATATTTTCTTGTTTTGTTTTTGCTTATTGTAGAGCGCTTAAGAGCATGATATGTGAAACTTTTATGTGACTCTGAGCTGGGAAATTATGAAAGATTTTAACCTATTAGAAATACAGAAGATGGAGAGAAGGATGAAGAAATTAATAGAGAAAGACAGAGAGAAAGAAAGAAAGAAAGAAAGTTAGATTTCCGCATGATGATCAGATCAATCTGTTTGAACATGCACAGGTTAGGTGCCCAGAGCAGGGGAAGGATAGCATTCCTGTTACTCACCTGGAGTTCCACTCCGTGAGCTTTGTGGAAGGCAGACGTCCATAACCTGGTGTGATGGCTGTGGAGAGCAGTGGGCTGGCCACTGAGAAGAGAACCTGGAAAACCACAAAGCTGCCAGCTACCACGGTCAACTCTCTCGTCTCCATCACTCACCTAAACGCAACAGATGGGGGGAGAGGAGGGGAGGGGAGGGGAGGGGGGGAATAAAGCGGGGTGATACACATCGAAAGGTTCAATCAATGACTGCCAGCATTGAGGAGGAATAGCTCTAGGAGTGTGGTGATGGAAGTGAGGGTGAAGCAGAACCATCTTTGGTTCATGCTATCCAGAAGACAGAAAGGGGAAAAAAAAATTGAGGGCGAGGATGTGGGCTGACTAATGCAAGTGCTATGTGGGCTGTAGACAGGCAGGGCACTTCACACAGGTTAGGGAGAAGATGAAAGAGGGGAAAACTTAAGGTACATGTATTTAGGTGCAACACAGGAAAAAATAACTTTGTAGGTGTCGTGAAAATAGCACAGCATTTAGATAAGGAAGAGAAGGTCTCCTAATTTTGCATAATTTGCAAGGGGATTACTGTGGCGTGTTTAGGAAACACATCCCTGAGGAGAAAACAAAGCCGAGTGAGGAAAAAAACAGAGTTTCATCTTATGAGACAGAGACTGTATAAGACAAAGAAGCTAACAAATTACTTTACTTAAACTAATTGATCAATTGTTGCAGCCCTGCTTGGCGTCATTCCTCATTTCTTTTTCTATTTTGCTGAACCAAAAAAATCTACATCCACCTTTTTTTTTTTTTTTTTTTTTTAATTCAAACTTTTCAACTATTGATAACAGCAAACTATTCCACAGCTGCACAGCTACTATAACAACGACAGGGAAATCAAAAAATGTCACCGAGTTCACAGGAAACGCTAGACACTTGAAATGCACACTAACAATGACCTCTCAGTTTCATTAATAAAACTGGCTATTACAACATTCTCTCTCCACACGGGTCTGGACCCTGGCCTGATAATGCACTGGATTTCTAAATCGCGGAAATGATGCAAGCCATTTTAAACCACTCATTACAGTAGACCTGATGATTAGGATTGAACAGAGTACAGATTACACAATTGTTGATTAACAATGTATTGTAATGTGTTTTTTTCTTTGCAAAGAAACCTACGGAAGTATGCCCGTGGGAAGCACATGACACTTCAGGCATGTAGCCTACATTAAGTTCTATTTTAACTTGAACATGTGTCCAGTGGCATGCATCACACTGTACAGGAGCATTCAAGGAAACAAAAGCACGAGAAAAGCTATTTAGAGGAAACAGACTACCTTACGTCTAACAGCTTTGCTTAGAGGTCCTTGAGGCAATCTCAAAAAAATGATTCCCCACTAAAACATCTGCAGAATAAAATCCAAATGGATTTATTTAGAAGAAAAAAAAAACATTGTGTAACTATCAAACACACATTTCCCCCATATCTAACTAGCAGAAAGAAGTGCCTCCCAATATGTTGTTTTGAAAAACTGCCATGTTCAGCTTAAGGAAGCTGAGGCTGACAATTCTTCACCACCGAGTCTCTCCTTGTCCCCAGAAGCAGCTCTGCACACTCCCAGGCCACGTTGATCATATGCAGCATGTGCCTGAATAATTCATTGGCATTCTTCACCTGGCAGGCTGGTTCATACTGCCCCATGAGAGGAAGAAGAAGAAGAACACAGCCTCCCTCACTGCAGCTGACAGACAGACAAGAGTAGCCGGCTGGGACAGAAGAGGTGTTCTTCCGTCCACGTTTGACCTTGTTCAGCTGGAGTATCCTGCCACTGTCAGCAAACCATGACCCCCCCCCCCCTGTGACATATCGACCAAAACATAAATAATAGCGGTTCAATCCCCCCCCCCCCCAGTTCTTTAGGAAAACCAAACCTGCTTCTTATCTACCGCATTGCAACACAAGACCACCGGATTTGATTCACTCTGTAAAAGGCACAAACCTTGGCAAGCCAACATCCCTGCAGGCAGGTTGGGTCATGACATGAATACTGATAAATAAATGGTCATTATTGTTGTTGTAAGCCGATAAGAGATGTTAGCATTCAGCATAAAGATACTTGCATAAACATAAACACTCCCAATGGGGAATACTGTGCACAATGCTCATGAGCAAGTGGCGTGTACAGTTCATAACAGAAGGCACTATGTTAACTAGAATTAGCTCACTCTTCCTTAGCAAGCCCATTGACATGTTGCGTTTGCAGGAGGTGAATAAGCATTGTTTAGCACTGCGGACAGTCTGGCATGGCGAGCAACGTGTCAAACACGGAACACATCGGCTACATAATCGCTGTAAATAAATAGTTTTACAGTATAAAACAGGCTGGTATAGCAGGGAATTTCAGGGGAGAGTGGAGAGGGGGGGTGGGGGGCAAAGTTGATGGCTGAAAGTCTTAAGGAGTGCTACGTATGCTGTTGTTGTTGCCTCTGCCACCGAGCAGCCAAGAGGGGCTGTTGCAGTCTCGAGATTTATTCCCGTACAATAAAAACCACACACACACACACACACACACACACACACAAAACCCGTGTACGATAAAGCCCAACCAGGGTGGAGGAAGCTGTTCGCATGGCCCATTTACCTGCTTTCCGTCGCATAGGTCTGTGTTGGCGGATAAGCTCCCGTTTAGCAGCCGTCTTCTCCACTTTCTTTACAACTTGACGTTAGCTAGCAAGTCGGCTAAAGTGAAACAGCCCCGCTGCTCTGGTTGTGTGTGTGTGTGTGTGTGTATGTGTGTGTGTGTGTGTGTGACCCTGCGAAAGAAAAGGGAGAAGGAAACAGGCTCCTCTGCTACGCAAACAGTGTCGTGTGTCTAAAAACCACTGCAGCAATGAAGAATGGCTTTCTCCGCAGTCTATTCCCTTTCGGCCATGTGTTTATGCTTATGAGTCCGGTGTAAAAGTTTTTTTTTTTTCGTTTTTTTTTACTCGTTTTATTTTGGCGTTGACAGCGAGGACCAACCGGTGACGTCGACACGTACCCACCCCCTACCCCCCCCCTCCCCTCCTCATGCACACGCCCCGTGGCAGAGGCTACACCCACACCCACGAGGAACAAAGGCCCCCACAGCAATGACAATACTTTTAGTAATAAAAATAAATATAAAAAAAAGAGAAGAAAGTGGACTCCTCCACTCAGCTCAATCACACATCAGCGTGTTTATATAGTAAGGTAAAGCTTGAGTCACATTGTTATTAGAATATATATTTTTTATTTATTTAACCTTTATTTAGCCAGGAAAGTCCCATTGAGATTAAAAAGGGAGTCCTGGCCAAGAGGCAGCAAAAGTCACACAGTCACACTCACAACATGTGTGATATGGAGCCCATGTTCGTCAGTATAAAGGTGAGATGAAATCATAACCGTGGTGATGCAAATATTCCCGTTTGGAGCCATAGTCATGAGATTAAAAAAATAAACCATAAATATTGCCAATTTAATATAGTCGTGAAAACAAAAGGGTTTTTTATACGCAGTCTTAAAACTCATTTATTCAGTCTGCCTTTTATATAGTGTTTTATATCAATTCAAATCTTAACATTACCGTATTGTCTTTTTTTTTTATCCTACTACAATTTAAAATATTTTCCTCTTATGTATTTATTTTAATATCTTGTTGCTTTTATGTGTCGTATTTTATTGTATTTTAATTTATACATATATATATATTTTATATATTATATATATTATATATATATTTTTAAATTCTTATTGTGTGCATTAGTCTCTCAATGGTTTTAGCAATGATTTTATAAACTACTTTTCGTCAATAACTTTTCTGCACTCTTGTTAAGCACTTTGAACTGCAATTTAATTTGTCTGAAAGGTGCTATATAAATAAAGTTTGATTGATTGATAACAAGTCATGATAATGGAAAGTCATAATTGTATGATCATAATGTTACATTATAAGTCAGAGGTTTAATATAATTGAAAGTAACTGGTGAGACTGATGTCAATCGGCCTATTATTTCTAGATGGAAAACCACATAGTATGTCTAATTCTGATAAAACAAAAAAAACATGTGTGTGATTTCTTTGATTAATTACACCAGGCATATTTTTGTCCACCTCCTTTCTAATTTCTGAATATAAATGGAGTCATCCTTCACTTCAGGCTGAGAGAGGAGAAATCAGATAGCATGAAGAGATATTCATTATTTTTTTCTGGGATTGGAACTTTTGGAACTTCTGGAACTGGATCTCACCAATCATATCTAAATAGGAGTTAGTGTACCACACAGATGCCTCTTAAGTCGCCAATAGAATGTGGAATGCAGTGTGGGAGGAAATGGACACACCTGAACTCATGAGACACTTTGACACAGAGACAACAGACCAATCTTCCTTGAATGCAGCACTTGTCATAATGCTAAGAAAGTTGATGGGGGTCATTACTACCTTTAAATAAATTGTTTTTATTCTGGTGTGTGTTGTTCTTAGTCATGTCTGACCTCTTTGTTCTTCTCAGTTCTGAGTCACTGAGAACAGTGATACGTTGAGTCAAGGTTGTCTGTCTGGTTACAACACACATACACACACACACACGCACACACACACACACACACACACACACACACACACACACACACACACACACACACACACACACACACACACACACACATGCACACACAAAGAGGAACAATTTTCTCTCACTGAAACTAGCATTTATATAAATGTCTAGTTTTTATTATTTATATTTTGTGCGTAGTGGAGAAGCTTGTTTGTGACACCAAGAGCTCAAATGGCCGGCTGTCCAAGGTTAAGATGATTACAATTTATTATAAGACAGTGACAAAGACGGTGGATTAATAAAGTGTTGTTCTGGGTCTAGCACTCAATGCTACATGATCAAAATTGAATTATGGTTCAATCCTATACTTGTTTAAAAAAAATGAATGATTTAATGTGAAAATTAGTTTTAAACAATTCATTCTGGTTTAGTAGAGAAGAAAGTTAGAAGTTAGAGTGTGAAAAGGCGCAAAGAAATGCTTGAATTATATTTGTGTCGATTGAAGATATGTGTCAAGACAGGATGAGTCTAATCCTGTCTCTGACAATGAAGAGCCTCAGATTTACTGAATGTCAGCTGCCAATTAGAGCAGATCAGATGTCAATCATACATGCCAAAGTCACAGTGAACTAAGGGATTGAGGTGGAAATAATCCCCTGATAATTGTAAATGGACTTGAGCTTGTATAGTGCTTTTCTAGTCTTCTGACTACCCAAAGTGTTTGAATGAAAGCAGGGACATACGTATATGTCATGTATGATAAAGCAGGAGCATGGCTAAAAGGGAGGGATGTGCTATCTCTTTGATTTCCCTGTTGCATTGAATCTTCAAGTTGCAGGAATCTGTCATGTTGTTTAATGTAAAACTAGCTTTCTTTTTAATGTTATTTCAGGAAAGCAATCTTTGAAAATAATGTTATTGGCATATAGTTAAAACTTTGGTAAATACATGTATTCCCTTTCTTGCCTCGGGTTAGATTGGAAGATCAATATTGGATCATATAAAGTTGGAGCCAGGAGATGGTTAGCCTAGCTTAGCAAAGCACAAAGATAGTAAGCAGCTACTCTGATTCTATCTTCATGCTAGAAAATTCACTTAACAATGCATACAAAGCCAAAGCGTAAAAATGACTTGCAATGTATAGAACTATTTCCTGTCAAGGCATGGTTACTTCTTGATCTCATTTGGTGTCATGTGATCAATAGGCAACCAGCAGACCAGTTTCGTAGATCATTTTGTTGTTTTTTCCCTTTTACAAAGCTGACTTATTGCACTTGTTGAACAGAGTTTGACTTTTTATTTTCACATGACTGGCTGGTTGTCAGTGAAAGGATACATGATTCTGGTACTGTCAAACCAGCTTATCAAGTGGACTGTTCTGGAACAAGGGAGTGGATTCAGTGCAGTCAATAAAATGTGTGCAACAATGAAGAAAATGGTTTCCAAGTACAACATGGTTCAGGTTCAACGTGTTTGAACCCATGAGCGTCTGAAAATTGGATTGTTCACAAATATAACAACACCAATGAGAAGTGTGAACCAACCAGCTACTGGCAGGAGCTTGAACAGACATGAGAGTGGTGGCGTTCTAACTCTTGGCATGTTTTTCCTTAAATGTCAAACATAAGAGTCCATCATATTGCGTCAATTTAACATGATAATAAATATTCTTGTACATTTGTTTTTTACAAAATGGATTGGAATGAAAATGCTTTACTTCTAGCTAATTGACTTTCAGGTAACAAAATAAACTACTAGAAGTCTCTCCATTGAACAAAAAAACAATCTCTGAAATGTTCCAAAAGCTTTTGTTACCAAGTTGCTTTAATTAATTTGGTCAGACTCACTAAACAAATTCTTAATTTACATTCTCAGGCATGAAAATTCCATGTCCATAAACACTAACTCTAATTAACCTGTAATGACGGTGATAATGAGAACAACAAGGACCACACGGTTTATTATATTAGACGGGTAATTTAATACAGCAGGCAACTTAATCTCATTGCATGCCAGAGGGCCTTTCTCATTAAGGTGCAAGACAAGACACAGGGCCAGCCACTGCAGGGCAGTAGGACATTTATGCAGGTCGACTTTGGGACAGTGCCATCTCTGTTTGTACTGTTTAAGTGAAGCATAAAGTCTGTGTGATTTGGAATTTATTTTTTCGACCTTGAGGGCATATGCTGGAAGGAGAAAAGTGGCTGGCTTGTAGCCCAGGACAAAGAGGTATTTGGTTAAAGGTAGCCCTGCTGTTTATGTCCATATGCTGAGCAGTGTAGTAAAGTGATTAGATCTTTGTTGTGGTAAGGTTAACTAACTCAATCGAGTGTTTTTGATTAACAATCAAAAACACTTGATTGAGCAGTAGAAGGTGCAGTGAAGAACAAAACACCCTGCAGGGGTGAGGGTGATGTTGTTCTTTAGAAAAAAAATAATAAAGTCACCCTTGTCAAAATCACACTTTTATTTATACACATTTCCAGTCAAAGCCTTAACCCTGAACAGCTTTCATTGATGTAGTTATCAACCATGAACTGGCATGATTGGCAAAATGTTCATATATATTGTGTATCCAAATGTATGAACCTGTAGAATGAATCAGAAACTATTCTCTGTTCCTTTAAGACACACAAAGTACTTGGAGAAAACATAAGGAATGGACATTCTGTGTGACGTAAACTTCAGACATTATCGCAGATTGGATAGTAAGCTAGACCGGGTGGAAGATGTTCCTGGATTCAGAGAGAATCCTGTGCTTTTGAATTGCGGGAGGTTTACCCTGCAGCAGCCAAAGTCAAACTTTATATCTTAGATAGAGTTGTATTCAGAAAGCACATTGGTTAGTCCTCAGTTTCAGAGTTAAACAATATATTTTGAAATGACCAACAATTTAGTTACTTGATTATCCAAGTACAGTATGTAAGCTTTGTAAGACGTCTGCTGTGGATAGCTTACTTTACTTTTCTTGTAGCTTCTGCACCAATCTTAATTTTATTGAGCCATAAAGGGTTTTTTGTTTGAAAGCTAACTGTCAGGTAAATAAGCCAACAGCAAATAAAATGTACTAAAGACAATTGTCATTTAGGCCCCAGAGAGGTACAAGCAAACTTCAATATGTGTTGGAGTATACATTCTACGATCATAATCTTCATCCATAGTGTGTGGTTTTTTAGGCCGAGTGTATTTAAATTTCACTGCTTCAGGACGGTAAATCTGAATTTAAAGGGGTTATGGTCTGTTCAATTAAATGACAGGTTGGCTAGCAATCCGAACAAAGCAAAATCTAAATAGGCTTTGAAAAACATAAGGACAAAAATATATATATTTCAGCTACAAATCATTTAGTAAAACTTAAATCACAACATCTTTACGTTCTATGTCTATGGCTAGGTCTTCTTTGCAGCCG